AGTAGGGTAAACACAAGTGTTACCAATGATAATAATCAAGGTTCCATTCCATTTAGTGTAACAGAGCCTTTCCAGTAAGCCAACATGCACAATATCAGCAACCTGCTTGTGTTTACCCTACTATTTCATGTCAAAACGGTTGCTGTGAAAAAGGTTGTGTATTCTTCTTGTTAGGTGTTCATTTCAGATATCTGAATTGGGAAGATCTCGTCACACAAGCATTTCCGTGCCAAAAGTATTCATTACAATGTAATCGCTGTGATTAGTGCATTCACTTATGGAGGTAAATTAAATCTGTCCACATATTTTCACATCAACCTTTATGAAGGAAGCTATTGTAGCTTATTAGCTATACGTTGCAACATCCACTTTTATTGAACCTCCTTTGTCGGAGTATGAACTGTGCTACAGTAAAGGAATAGTTTGCATACAGTTATGATAAAGTGTGAGATTGGAGTTGATGCAGCAAATGCGTCTTTTAACTGTCCGAACTTATTCTCCCGTTAGCTGAGCTAAAGTAAATGTCATTAAGCTCACCAGCTTCAGTAACTTACCAACTAACACTACAAGTTGTCCCTATACGTCAATAAGCTTATAGAACCACATATTTCATGAGGACGTGCAGATGGATTGTGCCGTACCACTTGCAGGTCTTAATATAACCTGGTTCTCTTTTTTATGTTAAAGTATTTGTGGTTGATTAAGGTTCAAGAAATAACCTTGATAAAGTCATAAAGTTTGGTGTGTCCTGTGTGTGTGGCTAGTGTGTCTGGCTAGTGTGTCTGAGCAGGAATGTAAACAAGATGCACTTTGACTCTTTGTGCTTGGTAACCTTGTTATAGTCTATTCTTGTATGTCTTTAGCCCTGTACCCAGTCAATGATGCATAGATCGCCCTCAAGTTTAACACAAGCAATAATTCACAGTTGGTCAGAACAAAGGAGGAAACATGAACGTGCATTATCTCTATGCCCTTCTGTCTTTGTGTTTGCTTTCTTGTGCTTCCTCTGCATGTACTTCTCTAATTGTGGCCCTTCTGGTGCTACTTCCCTAAAGGTTTATAGCGGTGCTGACTGGGGACTGGAGCTCGGTAACTAGAGACTCATTACTAGATAAGCCTGATAGGTGAAGCTCTCTGTTTGTTGTGGCTACACAATGTGGAGACAGAGATCAGACAACTATTTTAACCAGTCTGCTCTTTCTGACAAAAACTCCAGGTGTGCAGTCGCTAGAGAAAGTCTTGCATTATTTCAACTAAATTTTTGCAACCATGCGCAAAGTGGAAATTGCGTGACGGCTACATCTGTGCAAGAGGTTTCCCTGGGATGTGGTTTAAGTTGCAATGGGTGGTGACACACGCTCTCAGGTGGCCCAACACCTTTTATTCCCTCCTGCTATTAAAACATGAGATAATCTCATTTCACTGAGCAACTTGTGATGGTAACCTTACACCACCACCTTTTCTTTTGTTAAAAAATGATTTATATTTAGATTGAAAGTGTTATTTTGGCATTGTAAGGATGACAGTTAGGTTTTTGAGCACTGGAATCATTTAGAGTTTTAAGTAGATTTCAAAAATATTTAATTCCATTGGTTAACAAGGTTATATAGCAGGTTGACTCATTAGCCACAAAGATAATATTTTTGATCCCAGTGTACACACCTAGACATGTTATATTCAGATGTAGCTGGGGAATGAGGTAACATAGTAAATAATATTCCAAATCTTAAAAATCCACAAAGCACTATTTCATTTCAAACTGAACCCAGCCTTACCTACACTACAAACATACCATCTACAAAACACACTGGGTGAAAGATGTTTCAGCCCAACCAACGAGCATTATCAGGTCTATCCAGCGAGGTCAGACAAAGATTTCTATCAACACAGAGAACACAAAGAGGATCTTGTAATCTGGGGGACAAATAAACAACTTTAAATATTCCAATGTAAAATGAATACTATAATAGCTGTTGTTTGTAACTCCAAATAGGACAGATTATGAGATAATGGACCCTTGGAAACTGACAAATAAAAGAAGTCCCCCACCCCTCCTCCACAGGAGCCATACACCCAGCCTGAAAGACACACAGAACGACTGTAGTCGCCCAACATGCCTCTGTCCCACATGACCCATCACTGCTACCTCTGAAACTCTCCACATGACGGCTCGCATTCTCAGAAACTTTCACCATCTCATGACTCCTGAACTCAGCCCCAGCTGTGCAGCTTGGTTGTGGTTTTGATGGGCGACAGAACAGTCTCTCCAGACTACAGCTTGTAAATAATACCCAACAGGTGGGTTGACTTTCTGTTATTTGGTCTGTCTGGTTGTGCTGGGTGATGACACTCTCTCAGTGTCTCCCAGTGGCACAGCTTGCACA